TTGACATTCCATTTCCAGGTTAAATTATTATCCCTGTCCAGTCGTGTTAAAGGCGGAGCTGGTTCGCAAATCACAGGAATGTTTTGTTGATGTCCTGGTAAGCGCCTGAGGATCAGATGGTCAGTTATCCTGTAAGGCCTGTTGGTAACACACAACTGACCTGCAAAGGGCAACAGGTCGGGTTCTACCAGGTGAGCTACCAAGGCGGCCAGAAACAATGTATTTTTTAAAAACTGAAACTGGGCCCTAAGAGATGTCACAATTAATAGTCTATGGATTAACATGAGCTTCTGTACAGACATTTATGGTCACCACAGGATTAATCCTAATAACTCTGGTAATCCCCTGAGTTTTCAATAAACTATGTGGCCCACAATTTGCAGTGTAACTTTGATTGTTTCGTTAAATTTGAGAGACAAATCCACTGACAGTATGGTGCATAACATATAACCACAATGTCCACAGTCCAGACCTGGCTGTCAACCACTGTGACACCAGGTACACACACGAGTACATTGATAGTAGTCTTTATGAGACGAACCGATTAAACACATATGTACAAATGCATCAAATGGATCTTTTGCTTTTCTCAGTGGAGTGTGAACACAAAAGACCACATTTTGCTCTGTGAACAGTATGCTGACCTACCTGTCTCCTGTGGATAGAATACAATTGCTGGCCTTGGAACGAAAAGCACCATTGTGTAAATGATAAGACTGAGGTTTGTTTGCTCTTCTTAGACAACCATAACAGCCCACAATATTTTTTTTTTAATTTATTTATCTTTTTAAAGCAGTTATCAACCAGAAGGTGGAACCTTGCTCAACTTGGGCTTCAATGCAATGCCGACAACACCGTGTGTGGGCCAATTAAATATGGGCAAGCACAAATTCCTGGTGGATTACTTTGAAACATGAACAGAACTGACTATTGCAAATAAAGATTAATGACTGCCGCTGTGATAACTTTCCAAAATTTTAAAACCCTGTCTGAGGCTGTTATACCCCTCAACACTATGTGTTGGGAAGCCAGGGTAATACATCCCAAAAAAGAGGAATGCGTTGTGGAGATTGTGATGGACAATGAATGATAACCTTCATCCATGAAGTATTCTGGTTTCTGTCTGCATCTATTTGTTGTTAACCTAAGCACTGCTGGCCCTAAGAGATGTCACAAGTAATAGTCTATGGATTAACATGAGCTTCTTTTATCAGTACTACCTGTGTCAAGACAGTCTGAACGTCTGCCTAATTCATCGGTGCAGTTGAGTGTGTTCTCTGTGACAAAAGGGCACAGTGTGCACCATCATCGTTCCAATTGAGTGTGCGTCAATTAAAGAAGCATGATGGTGTGTGATTCTTGCTATCACTTTAATATGGCAGACATGTGGAAATGCATCGATTTATAGTTTTAATTCATTCACTTTAATTCAATTCAACTTTTAACCCCAACTTAATTTGCAACACACCAAGAAGTAATGAAGACATTATTCTTCTCTCCGAAGCTACAGTATTTTCAAAAACAAAGTCGGGGAAACTGAATAATGTTGAATTTGTAATGAATGAAGAATAAAAATAATGTCAGCCTCCAGGGTATGTTTTTTCATTATAATACTTTCACACAATCAGACATGAATTTCCATTATATGGAAATATTCTTATTTCATTCCAGCACAAAACGGTTTCAGATGCGTGTTTCACTCCGCAAATTCACCCTCAAAATTTTTCACATTAAGCAGTAGATACAGGGATGTGTCCCTGTCACAGTGGATGAGAATAAAAGTGATTTAAAGAAATGGAAAAGGGTTCTGACCATAAAAGAGCAACAGTGAGAGTGTCAGCAATATGGCTCTTAAAACAAACTAGCAATGTTCTATTAAACAACAGGCATGTGGTTAATAATTCAGCCAGCATAAAAGTCTGTTTGAGAGAAGGTTTTCTAATATTCATGTGACATGATAGCCAAGACAGGAACTCTGTCTCTCACTGGGTACAGTGTTATTCATACTGTGAGGCTCTACAGTGTTTTGTAATTCATAGCTTTAGTTTTTAGGCCAAGCAAGGACATATCTAGACCAACCCTGAGCTTCAGTAGCTAACTCAATAATTCAAGAAGATTTGTTCTCAACTGCTAACTGATGTTAGTCTAATATTTAGAGATAATCTATTCTATATATGTGAAATCACCAAAACATCTCACACCTGAAGCCAGAAGAAGAATAAATAAGTTATTCATTCAAGTAATAACCCACTGTATAGGTAAATGTAAGGTATTCTGGAGAGTGCAAGGGTATTTCAAATCACTCAGCTTTGGACACAACTTGCACATAGTCTCTTAAACAAAAATACAGCTAAAAAGACTAGAAAATTACCAAAAAAACAAAACATGGAGGTTTTGATGATCAGTTATACTCTGGCCACATGGGAATACTTTCATTTCGAAAAAATCCGATTCTTTTAGACTCCTTTGTTAGACTGACCTTACATGGTAGTTGACCCACCTTTCTGTGATGGCACCTGGCAGGACATTCAGATACTTGACAGAGAATCCTTGTTTGTGTCATTTCATAATGTAGCAAATCCACAATCACTGCTTATTTGTATCTTCTCACCAATTATGTTTTTCTGATCTTGTGTTTTCTTTTTTATATTTTAATGCCTATTGCCATACACAGGGGTAATCTCTTTTTGACTTTCCACAGGAATACTGTAGTAATTTGTTTTTTCCTCAGGGAAAAAGGTTTGTGCTGGGAGTTTTTAGAAAGGTTTTAGTATGGCGGTGCCAGTTGAGCTCGGTTACATAAGTTAAATGTTTTGCTATTCGATCCACTTTACTTTACTTCACCATAGCATGTATCATTTTACCTTGTGAGTAGTTGTTACATCTATGCAGATATATTCCCTGCCAGCCAGGTATCCCCTTCAGACTGTATGAAGTGTAAGTGAATCATTGGTATATTACATTTTGGGACAGATAAGCTTGCTATAACATAACAGAACAGAATTGAGGGGTGGCACTGCACCTTTTATTGTTTAAAGTGTCTTCATTTGTATCTACAGATGGTGAGGTTGTCAAGGTTCTCACCTCCAAAAACATAGCTTTACTGGCCTGAAAAGAACCCTGTTAAACCCCACATGTTCAGCTTTCCTGCTGCACTTCTCCAGGGACAAATACTTAAAGATAACAAACAATATATATATATTTACAAAACATTGTATATAAAAAAGGTCCTTACAATCAACAGTGTCCTTCAGCAGGGGATGGAGGAGGCTTCTTGGTGATCCATGGTGTAGATTTAGCCTGGGAAAAGAAATTGAAAACAACCTGAATGACAGAATTAATCAATGGAGCTGCTACACATAACAAAAACGTGTCAACCGTGGTGTTAGCAACCTTTAATTCTAGTGTTTAAATCTAGTGTCTCTCAACCATCTTCCTGACCATCCCCTCTAAAGCCTGACTGCTGTCAACAGAGCAAATCCAAAACAGCTTGAAGTATAAGTTCTGCAAGCAAGCAGAAAAAAAGTAAATCACTACAGGTGAGCTACAATTTATAGCAAACGCTTAAGGTAGGTATAAGTATACTAGACGAAACAAGCTGCCACTCCCTGGATGATATTCAAGCAGCAACCTCTTCACCACAAACATACCTGTCCTTCAACCATCTCCTCGTAGGAAACCTCATTAATGGCTGGATGGTGTAATTAAGAATGGGCTAATCACCTTCTGTCCCCTTCAGCAGGCTGAGAGCCTGTCCTGATAGTAAAAAGCTCCAGGACAGTGAAGCCTCGCCCCAGGGCATGCTGGGCGCCGTCTGGCCTGGGTGTCAAGGACACCAGCTCCATAACCACCACCGTGCTGGGCAACTGCAGAGACGTATGGAAGTACAGGACCTACAGAACCAAATAAAACATGAAGTGAAGAAAGACATCAATCAATGCTACATCTCTGAGTTGTTTAGAAAGCAGTTTGGATTTTATCTGATGCTAATTTCTGTAATCCAAACATTTTGTAAAATGAGACATGAAAATTGTGGCATTTGTGGGCCATAGCAACCTTTAAACCAAGTTTCATTCATTCATTTATTCATTCATTTAATGTATCATTTTATTTTATATTATTCACCCACTGTCACCTGGATCTGCACATTTCTGCAAACCCTGTCATACATCCCAAACTTCATCGTCACCTCACGGATCCGATAAGATTACATTGGGTTTGCTTAAGCCTCAAAACTGTGGGTGCTTTCACACCTTTTTGTCTGGACCAAGGGAAAAAAATATACATTGTTGAATTTTAGTTCTGGTCCAGTTTGTGTTTACACTTGCATTTTACAAACAAACCAAGTCATACAGACTTACAGTTAACTCATTGACTGGACAGTTTTGGCGATTGTCATCCTGCATCATCAGCTCATCAAATTCTGGTGACTGGCAGCAGGTCATTCCGCAGTCTAATGCTTCTAATGTGAATGTTTTCTGGTGTCACAAAGAGCTCACAAAGAATGATGACAGACAGATGAAGGACGAAAAAGAGGTGTCTTGTATATAAATATTCCAGAAGGTATTTCTGTGAGATCGCTAAGTCATGAACTCTAAATGGAATTAATGAACTGCCGAAGTACATGGAGTAGGAGTTCAAGCGGTTCTTGGTCCGGTGGCACTGGAGATCAATTGATAGCATCCACACAAGGCCAAAAGATCCACAACGAGATAACGCAGCAGCGTTTGTTTTAACTGGACCAAACAGTTTAGGTTTGAAAGCAACATAAAAGAAAGTGGAAGTTTGCCTGAAAAAAAAATATTTTGCTCTTTAATCATGTTATGTCTGGTTTCAAAACTTTTCATAAAATGTATTATTAGCATAAGTAATCTTATGAACAATAACTACAAACTACGAGCATGAGTGTGTGCGTGTATCTGTATGGTGCTTTGTGTACCACACAAAAGACTGACTGGTGAGGATGTGACACCAGAAATTTAACAGTCGAGAGGCGGGTATGTGCTCCCCTGGTGAGGGGACTCTTTAGGATTATGTGGGGGGGTTTGACCTCGCAATTTTTACACAAGTTCAGAGAAAGACAGTCAAGCCTTTTGGGAGCCTGTTTGTAGTCAGTGCCAGGTAGATGCAATTGTTTACTGACTCTGATGTGCCATTCAAAATGGAAATAATAGCCCACCTACAGCAGAGCCACACTGATTTACATGCACACAGGCCTGAATATGATAAAGAGACCCACAAATTCTCTGTGATCCATTGGTCCCCAAGCACAATAAAGCCTGTTATTTTTCAAAACCATAAAGAAGAACATGACAGTGTCGGCAGAAAAAAAAAATAGCTTAAGTAGACATGAGCTACCTTGAAATACAGAGTCAATTTCTCCCAGCCCACTGTGGCACTGTTCATCTTTAGACCCAGCTATCAGCCACCACAGAGGCGTATATTCAAATTCAAAACCTCGGAGGCATTCCTATTTCGGCCACATCAGTCTTTTATCTCTAGGCACGGTGAGTTTAAATTACCAAATACAAATACTCCTGAATACAAATGGAAAACATGAGAGACAAAGACACTCGTCAAGCCATGGTTTGATGTACTTATTTGTTTGTTTGCTTGTTTTCTTATATTCATTGGACTTAGACATTCACAAAAGAGCTTAAAAAATCAATGGATCTGCTATGATGAAAGTTGTGGTGGTGGTAGAGAATGGGATAAGTAACAATAACTGGTTACTGAACATAGATGCTCTGAATTTGTTAGGACATTTTCAGAAATTTTCAGCTTTTAACAGAACCTTTGAGAGAAAAGTACACATATTAGTATCTGATTTCTAATGTGCCATCTGACTCATTTCTCAATCATGGTAATAATGCACAGTACAACAAGAACTTAGCATTTATTTGTTATGTTTGCTGAGCTAGAATTAAGACAGATATTCTAGCAGCAGCAAACATGGGCTGAGCTGAGAAAGTAAAAATATCCCCCCTTCCCAAGATGCACGTTATTCAGTATTCATAGACTGAAAACTTTACTTTCACTCAGTTTATTTATTTAATTCCCTACAACCGTAACTCCCAAATCAAAGCCTCATCTTTGAATGAACTTCTCTTGAACCTATCCCAAGCTGTAAGAACAAGAGATTGGGAAGGGGGTCCATATTTTCTATCATGTTCACCCAAGTTTCCTCCCCCTGTAATAATGTGGAATTTGCATTGTGGTCAAAGACGTAGTCCCCAGACTCAGAGCAATCCAAACATGGACATTGTCCATGACGGATTTCCAATTCAAAGGTAGAATTCCTTTTTCATCTGCTTCACTGCTTTGATACACCTCCAAATTGATTCTGTTCCAATCTCAGGAAAAAATAAATAAATAACAATCTGTCCCCACAGGGCAAAAATCTCCTGCGCTCAATTTGTAATCATTCAGATTTTCACAGGATTTAGTGAATGCACAAGAAAACAGCCATGACTGGTTGTGAATGTTTTGAGAAAAGCTGGACAAAGGATAAAATAATGTCAAGTGTTTTGAATAAACACTAAAGCTGATTTGTTCAGTTTTCCGGGGATGGTACAGCATGCTTTAGCTGCAGCTGCGTATGCCTCCCATGGCCTTTTCATACCCTTTTCCAATACAAATTCACAGCTGGAGACTTCTCTGCTGACGAGTGCCGTTTAGATCCCGCTTCAGAGCAGGCCCAAGCCTGATGGTGCTTCATCTACGACCAACTGTATCGACTGAGTTGGTTGCCATAGTCAACGAACTGCCTCAAATGTGAAGTTATGCAAGTGGAAGGAAGACTGAAGGCATTATTATCTTCAGCTTCACATGGTTGTTAACTGCAATGTTTCTGTTCTTACGATTGATCTAATACAAAGAACCTCACTGTTCTGTCATCCACACAGCTTTGCCGTGATTTGTCATACGTTGCCATGACGATCTCTTGTTGCCACACAGGAACAGCCTTCCAGTTTATGCCTTGTAACTTAACACTAAATCCACTTTTTTATTATTATTTTAGGGGGCATTCTATGTCTGTATTCAGCTGCCTGTCTTCATATTTGGTTAGATTCCATTTTAGTTTCTGGCTTGTAGACACAGTGTCCTTCAATCCACACTATATGTGGATTATCACAGCATATGCTATACATTTATTGATATTCATTGTGTATTGGTAAGTACTGCAAATAAGAAATGAATGGATTGTAACATTTTGTATTAACAGGAAGGCCTGCTCCAACATATGAGAAAAAAATTGAACAATTCTGAATTCTGATTTGTGTATACTTTCACACCATTAGCTATGGAAACATATTTGCCCTCACATTAAAATATTCTACACTGACACCTCTGTTTTCCTGAGCAAATCTCCACATTTGTACTATTCAAACATAAAGCACTACACTTTTTCCCCAGAACTTTATGTTAAGGCAATGTTATGAGATCTTGCTCCTTCCCAACACCACAGGAGCACTGGGAGATGTCATTGAGAAAACAGCTTGCATCGGCAGCAACGCCAGGCGCAGCATATGTTGGACCTAATGAGAGGTTATACTCCGCAGCAACTGTCAACAAAGCAGTAATCGATTCTCGCAGGGGTAAATATCCACCCTCCCACAACTTGAGTAAAGAGGGGCGAGCGGCAATGGGGTGACATTAAAACATCATCAGCACAGAGGCATGTAGCTTGAAGTCACTACCAACAACCAGCCTGTCTGCAGCTTCTGGAGGTTTTGCTGAGACCCCTTTGTGAGTGACAGAGAACTTAACTGTGACAGGAAAGAGAAAAATTCTAGCATGAGAGAGAGAGAGAGAGCAATGTTGTGAGATGTAGAAAAGAGAGAGAGCGAGGGAGATAAAGAGAGAAGATTGTGATGGCCACATTTTGTGATAAACTATATGCATTGACATGTTGACTGGGTTAAGTGGACTGCCCACTGTCTAAACCCATTGACTGGACAGTTGCTGGATATTAGTATTGTACATGTACAGCTAAGCAAGTACAATACAGTCATTACACTGGATCCAATTGGATATATATATATATAGATATACATCTATATATATGTACATGTACAGCTAAGCAAGTATATCAAGTATGTAACAGCTTCATAGAGTCCTATTACTGGCTATTCGTGCTAAACAAGCAATTATGGACCTCTTATAGTCCTATCAGAGTGCAAAAGCTGAGGCTAATTCTTCCTGCTCTCTCGAGGTGGCCATTCAAATTCTCGACTTGTGGGCAACTAGGCAAGCACCGAAGGGGGGAATCACAGGCATTGCACAAAACAAAAGACGTTGCAAATGGGCACTGGTTTTGCATAGAGAGGTCCAGAGCAACTGGAGTGTAATTGACAGGGCCCTGTTGTTCGACCCCCGGAGGCTTCCCAAAAGAAAAGCTAACAGAGTATTTCCATTTAGCCAGCATGCTGGCTGGGAGGCTGGGAGCACTAGTGTCAGCTACCTGGGACTTAGATAATAGACCAGCTCCACATGTCTGCATGCCTGTATTAACTATTCACATGTTGTGCATGTACCTGTATGAATGCATGTGGTTGTGTGTGCATGTGTGTTTAAGATAAATATAGGCTACCATCATGCAGCATAGAAAAATAAGCACATGAATACACTATCTGGCTTTAATGCATTATATAAGTATACATATAACTGTGAGCTCTACTACATTTGTTGTATACCATGTGTCTACACCCTGGGACTTTGTTGTTAAAGGCAAAAACTCAAAGTCACAGCTCAGCTCATGAAGTCCTATGAAGCTAAGCTAAGCACATGCACTCAGGAAGAGTCTTGGCTATAACGCTTTGATACTAGTTTTGGCAGCATAGCCAACGCCTTGAGGTGGAGGGAAGAGAGAGGGGGAGAGGAAAAGAGCGAG